ATAATAAATGTAATTTTTTTTAAAAGTCCCCTGCATGCATATTGACATAAACATGCGTTGGATGCGCCAATGTACAAAAATGTAAACAATTGCCCTACACATGTAAGATATCACCGCATGCACCAGAGAGAGCAATAATTCTAGGGTCATAGATATCTATAAACTGATGCCCGGTACAGGCTTTTAAAGCGTTGCCTACAGACAATTTGGGGGTACCGTATTTTGTCGCCGTTTCACGGATCCGCACAATTTTTAGTTTGGGCATGTTGGGTATCTTTTTACTCGTTATAACCTCATCTTTTATATTTTACCAAAAAAATGGGTATTATATTGTGATTTTATGCACTAAAATTAACTTGAGTGCATTTTTTACTAAATTATGGTGTTTGATAAGGAGTTGCGCTAATATCGTACGCCATAACAATTTGCAACTGCCGCCATTTTATTGTACAGGGGCTTTGCTTTCAGAAAATATATACTGTTTGTGGGTTTTAAGTAATTTCCAGGCCTAAAATGTGGATGGTAACGTGTGCAAAAAAGGCCTTGGCAGCGACAAGGTTAAAGTGCCACTGACCACCAATGATTGTGGGATCATTTTTCCACAGGTAAAGAAATAAGATATACATATTAAAAAAAAGTTTGGTTTTGTGGGTTGTATAGTAAAAAAAAAAAAAGTGATTACAAAACACCACCAAAAGAAAGTCGTCTCCAAAAATGAAATAAAATGAATTTTGGTGCAGCGTTGCATGACCAAGTAATTGTCACTGAAAACTGAAAATGGCCTGGAAAGAAAGGGCCCTATAGAGACTATCACTAAAGTGGTTAACTCAGAGAGAGACAGAAAGAGGGAGAGAGTCATCATCTAAATACGAGTGCAATTATTTATACACGATTCTTCAAAATGCCACCAAGCTAATACAAACTTTCAGGATCTAGCTGTCAGGCAGAAATAACCAGAGCGGCGGCCACTGGAAATACAGAAAGTTCTTTGAGGCTTTATTTATTCAAACTGCCTGAAGGAAGAATATATCTTGTTGTTCTCTATAAGAAGAGCATTTTATAGTCAGCACAATGTAGGAGAACAGAACGGGGAGTCTAATTAGCAGGTATGGATTACAAGAATAACTCTTCCCTGAGACTTTTGTATAAATGGGTTTAAGAGCTAAAGGTTTCTCACCCTATTTGTCTGCACTTGTAAATGTATAATTGATATCATTAGGTCCAGAAATTGATTTTAGGCTTTCACGTTACAACTAGAGAAAGCTGAGAGTTTCAGTTCATTGCAGCAAAGTACATTAAGGATTTAGAAGAATTTATTCGGCAGAAATATACATTAATATTCGTGCATCTTATCTATAAAAGAACAGCGTTTGCAGGGCACGCAAAGAGAACAGAAACATTTCATACTTTTGTCCAACAAAGACTGGAAAATGAATACACAGACTGTATTTTGAGAAAGTATGGAACAAAAGTGAACTGGCCTACGTATTCTGAATGCTTTATTTAAGGTAAGCATGGAAGTGCATATTCATTGCAGTTAGGGATGCACCGATACTGATATTAGTATCGGTGCTGCCGAGTATTTGGGCAAGTACTCGTACTCGCCCAGATGCCTAGCCAGATACTTCCGGTATCAGGAAGCCTGGCAGCGCGTCATTACATGCTGCCCGGCCCCCTGATTGGCCGGGAAGCCGGCTCCATGCTCCCTCGTCACTTGTGACGAGAGAGCATGGAGCCGGCTTCCCGGCCAATCAGGAAGCTGGGCAACGTGTAATGACGCGCTGCCCGGCTTCTTGATTGGTCAGGAATCTGGCCAATCAAAAATATCGGTTCTCACACTCAATACTGAAATACTGGTATCGGTGCATCCCTAATTGCAGTAATAAAGTAGGGGAAAAATGTTTAATACATTTGTTTTACAGAAATATGTCACATACAATAACTAGATTGTAATCTTACAAGCAGGGCCCTCCTAACACTCCTGTATTAAAATTGTATTGCAATTTGACTGTCTCCCTCTATTTTGTAAAACACTGAGCAAACTGTACAAATCCTGTATTATAATAATATCATAAAGACATAGCATTCTATATCTTGGCGGTTGTCTCTTGCAATTTAGAAATGTCTTTAAAGTCTTCAACTTTAAATTCAATGAGGGGGGGTTTACCAAGACAAAATCTGGAGAAACTGTGCATAGCATGGCAGCCAATCAGCTTCTCTCTTTAATTTTCAAATCTGAACTTCTCTCTTCAGTTTGCTCAGTTAATTGGTTGTTATTGGCAACTACTCCAGATATGGTCTGCTCCGGTTTTGATTAATTCCCCCCGATGTCTTACAAGTGTTCATGTATCTTGTAAATTGCTTCTCTAACATGACAGTCTCTTGTAATGTGAAAATTCCTGATTATAACTTAATAGTCTCCTATTAAGTGAAAGATGTTCATGCTTAAAAGAGAACTATGGGGTAAGTGTTTCTCCCCATAGTTCTCCTAAAGGTGCCCATACACCTTACAATTATCTGCAGATTGTATGTGGTCAGATGGAAAAAGTGCAACAGATTGGCCCAGGTGGAGATTACTCTATCCACACAGTTAAGTGTAGATGGAGGAATCTGTTGCACCTTATCTGCAGATAATTGTAAGGTGTATGACCAGATTAAGGGTCACAGGGGACATAAACTAGCGTCCTCCTGTGACCCAAAGCTCAGTATACCGCGAGCTATAGTTCGCATTATACTGAGACCGCCGCAGCCGGGGCGGATCCCAACATTACTGTCGAGATCCACCCAGCTGCGTGACAGCTGGTTCTGCCCAATTAGCTGTCTATCTAGAGGCAAAGACAGCTGTACCCACCCCCTCTGTTGCTCCAGTCAGCGCTGGAGGATTGGAGCGGGGAGGGGAGAATCCCTGCGGGGAGCGATGACCGACAGTCATGGCTCTCTGCAGGGACATGATCGAGAAGTGAGCGAGCGACGGTATGTGTTCGCTCACTTACCGATCTAATGAGCCGACGTGTGACAGTTTCATTGTCACACGTCGGCTCGAACTATGAGGATGAGTGATTTTCACTCACCTCATAGTTCTCCTTTAAGACTATGTTCACACCATGTCTGGAGTAGATCTGCAAACGCAGTGCATTTTTACCACTATTCGGTCACATTACAGTGTGTTTTTTTTTTTTAAGCTTAAAATGGGATTTCAGGTGCAGTCCAGGGCATTTGTATGTTTTTGATGCTTTTCCATGCATGCCAGGCCAGAGAAAATGAGACAAGCGGCATTTTTTTTTTGTTACTGGGAACTAACTGTGAACAGAGCCCAGAAATACCATAAGGATTTATCGGGATGCTTTTTTGGTCCGGGAACAAACTGTTCTGGTCTGGACATGGCCCTAATATGGTGTGAGCAAGCCCTCAATGCAAATTTTAGAAGCCCTCCTTCTACGTAAAGCCCAAATTTGTGCCCTCTAGATGTTAAAAAATGCAGATGTGGCTGCAATACTCACCTGCACTCTGACATTATTTCTGGCCGTACTATCTTTCCACCACTAGATCCCCTCAGTCTTCTGAGTTGAATGACACCCAGCAAGAACATCCTGTAATTGCAGGGCAACACCATGTTACCCTGCACTCACTGGTAATGATGCAGAGAGCGTCGGTGACATCATCATATCAGGACCGCTATCCGCATCATTGAGAACCAACCCCTGCTGGAGAAAATCTGAAGAGTAGGAGGACCCTACATGTCATGTCATATCTGGAAAAGGTAGCATGAAAATACATGTTGGGGAAGGGTGTTCCCACAGTTGTGCATTAAAACAAAGAGCACTTATCCTTTTTAGTCCCTCACCCCTGACCTAAACAATGCCACCCTCCTCGCACAGCAGATCAGTAAGGGCTCGTTTGGGTTTTGTCTACATTCCGCGTAGCAATGCTCCCTGCACATTACAGCGCCATAGACTTCTATTGGGCTGTCTCCCAGCAGGGAGACAGACATGGCCAGGAGAGGATGACTTGAAGCGCTGGGTGGCAACAATTAGCAGAGCCCTTGGATCTTGGTAAGTATAGATCTGCAAAGGATGAGGGTCAGGGGGCAAAAAGAAGCACTTTTTCCAAAAGTAGGCCTATTCGTTAACCTTTTCCCTGTCACCGATGTAAGGCATACAGCGGAACAAAAACTTTCCCAGCATGCCTTACGTCAGCTGCATTTACCCTTCTGCTATAAGCTCATGGTTGCTTCAGTGACCATGAACCTAAAAAGGAAGGGTCCCCCTGACCTGTGTAAGTAAATAGCGGTCATCAGCGGCTATCCATTGTAAATCAGATTGCCCCCACCCCCTCTACTGTCATTGCCACTCAGCAGCTCTCTCCTCCCTGCTGGAACCTGATGCATGCCCTCTCCCGCCTGTGCAAACCCAGTTTTGCCCAAGCCTGTTTAAAACATCTGACCACCAACCACTTCCTCCTGACCCAATCAGTTGCAAGGAGGTGCATTCCTCTTCCCACAGCTATATGTAATAAAAGGGATGAAAGTGCTCAAGCTAGAAGTGCCACCAGTGCTTGGGTAGGGAGGAAGGGGGTGCAGGTCAGAGTTTTCGGTCACTTGTTAGATACCATGGCATGAGTGACAGCTCTGAAGCTGCTGACATGACATCCAAGTTGCGGCACCCATCAGCAGTCTCTCTGGCTTTGGGATGTCTACAAAACAAAGGCTTCCACAAGTAAATAAGATAACATACGTAAAATACGTGTTATGCACATATATTCTTCTGGCAACATTGTTGCCCGGTGACAGGGTCTCTTTATGGTCTCCCTTACAAGAACTTCCGTCACCTGCAGCAGAAGGTGTCCGTGTTATAGAACAGAACCAACACCCAGCTCATCAATAATGACAAGATGTTTGTATCACGTGACAGACGGCCCACCCACGTGATGTCACACAGGTCCAACACGCTCTGCCAGGAAGAAAACACAGCCACGGCCGCTGTGTAGAGCACAGAGGCGGTATGCAGGGCGGCGGGGAAGCGCATGGAGCAGGCTCGGCAGACGGAGAGCTGAGAAAGGCAACAGGGAGCGATGACTGCGAGTCGGGGGAGAAGAAAGAAGGAGACGACTTCTCAGACATCAGCGACTCCGAGCTCCTCAGCTTACAGGAAGCTGCGGAGAGCTGTGAGTGATGGAAAGGGCGTGGCCAGAGAGAGGGCGGAGATTAGGGCGGGACGAAGCATGTTTATGGAGCAGTAGATCGTGTGTTTTATATTTATAGAGCTGGGAAGTTCGGCTCTTAGAAATTAATCGGTTCACTTGCTGAGTCGGAAGCTCAGGAGCTGTCTGAACCTTCTTAAAGGATCCAAATGAGAAGACTCTTGATTCAGAGAAGGTGGGGCAGCTCAAGGGGAACCTTGATCAGTGCCTTGGCTCAAAGAGGTCACAAGTTTGGTTTTATGTCAGACCAGCCAATCTATTAGATCAGCCAATGTCGTCACTTCTGGTGACGCGTGATCACCTGTGACAAATTACTGCGCATTGCATTCTAATGAGCTGATGTCACATTGGTAGCGATTAGTGATGAGCTGGGGCGTGTTCGCAAGCGCCTTGTGCCGAGCCCGCCAGGAAGCCGTCAGCGCCAATCACAGGCACTGAGACATGTTCCCGGTCGGCAGCTGCAGAGATCGGAAAATGTCTCAGTGCCTGCGATTGGCGCTGCGCGCTGACGGCTTCCTGGTGGGCTCGGCAGGGGGCGCTTGCGAACACGCCCGAGCTCATCACTAGTAGCGACCAGATTTGTCCCTAGTGTTTAGAGCGCAATAACAATCGGATTTACTACTGGGGCTACGGTAGTAAAATCGTATGGTTATTCCTACCCATGCGCTGTAAAGACTGGACAAATCTGACCGCTAGCAATGTTAGCTGTGACATCACATCAGAATGTGGAGCGCATGCACAGTAACATGCTTTTAACTGCCACAGCTGATCATGCATCACGAGAAGTGACGACATTGGCTGATCTGATAGAATGGCTGGTCTGATATAAAACCAAACTTGTTACAGCTCTAAGCCAAGGCATTGATCACTGTTCCCCAGGAGCTGCCCCCCCCCCCCCCCCTTCTCTGAATCATTCTTCTCATTCGGATCTTTTATGAAGGGTCAGACAGCTCCTGAGCTTCGGTTCACTTGTCAGCCGACTCAGCAAGTGAGCAGAAGAACCGAATCATTTCAAGATCCGAACCTCCCAGCTCTGACTTAGGAGTCTAAAGGCTGTGACACACTGCACGCGGAGCGGTGGCGCGCTGCCTTCGCGAGCAGTGTGTCATGTAATTTTCTCCTCGGCATGTCAGCTTGCGAGAGCTCACATAGCTGAGCGTGCCGAGATGAAAAATGTCATCTTCAGCCAATCGTGTCAGGATCCAACGTCTGGCCGTTTTTTACGCATTAGCCAATTGGCTGAAGGTGCAGTCAAACATCTGCCTGCACGCAAAGCTCTGTGCCGGTCAGCTTTGCTTCACTTTGCACGGCTCTGCGTGCAGTGTGTCACAGGCTTTAGACCCGGTGTACTGTTGGAGGTTTGTGTCCAATTCACAGATTTGATTGGTTGCAGGAAGGAGCTGAGCTCTCGCTCTAGGATCGTATTACAAGAGCCGCTCTGCTACATTCCACACTGAACTGCTACAGGGCTAGTTCACACCAAGCGCGGAGCAGTTACAGAATGGATCAAAACTGCGTCCAATGTGTTCCAATGATATTTTGGGCTCTAGTTCACACTGCAGCATTCAGTTCCAGAGCATGTGGGAAAACTGCAGCATGCCCTATTTTTCCTGCTCTGGAACGCATGCAAATGCATCAAAAACACATGCAAATGCTCTGGAGCACACTGAAAGCCACTTTTAGGCACAAAAAAATATATATATATTTATTTTTACAAAAACGTCCCGGAACAATGGTCTGCATTTGGTGTGAACAAGCCCTCAAACGGATCAGCTCACTCAGAAGAATCGACTCCTCCAGTTCACTGAAAGTAATCAATACAAAAGAACGATTCGTTCAGGAACTGGACATCACTATTTTATAATAGTAGATCTGTACATAGAATACGATTCTGGGTGTGTTTTGTTTACAGCTGCAATGTAATTTATATCAAAGCCAACCTGCACTACTCCCCATTGTATAATGGCATAGTACACCTTTTATAAACATTTAACAAACACATCCACAGTGACTGAATAAGACATGTCACTTTATTACATGTTTGCATTGAAGCCTGCAGAGCCTTGAACCTTTAATGTGGGTGCTATGCACAGTCTCCTGCATTATGCAGGTCAACCTAACTAGCTGGGTGGGTCTCCAGTGACAACCTACCTCACTGGTGCATCTCAAGCATGTGAGGTAGGCTGTCACTGGTGGCTCGGGGTACCAGTACTGTGAATTGCGTGGGGGGGCTGGGTTGAGTTGGGCAAAACAAATGGCAAACGCACTCATCAACATATAACCAGCTTCAAAGCAAGGTGCACATGGAAGGGCTTTAAACAATACAACAGCAAAAAGTTTCCCAGCACACTCACCAGCCAGCATGCTAAAAAACCTAATCTAACCGCTAAGGTTATAAACAGAGGTTTTAGATGCACGTCTTCTGCAGAATATGTGAAAGCCGCACTGCCTCATCAAGGCCCCTCGGTGTAGTGCAGTCCTAACTCTAATCTATGAGAGTCTCCATCTTGGAGCACACGTAGCAAAAGATATGCATATGTGACCATTCTGTAAACACGTGACTGTAGATAAAAATCAACTATCAAAACAACATTTTCTAGGCTAATAGATACTTCTCTGCACTGATATTATTATTATACAGGATTTATATAGCGGCAACAGTTTGCGCAGCACTTTACAATATAAGAAATACATTATAATCACAATACAATTCAAGACAAGATGGGGAGGAGGACCCTGCCCCTGAGGGCTTACAATCTAAAAGGGAGGGGCAAGTGATACATGAGGTGGCTTGTGTGGGGATGAATTGTCTGAGAACGTGATGGTTGAGTGGTTAGGTTGAGGTGGGATAGGCTTCCCTGAAGAGATGAGTCTTAAGGCATCTCCTAAAGGCAGTCAGAGTGGGTCATAGTCGGACAGGTTGGGGTTAAGAGTTCCAGATGATGGGAGAGACTCTAGAGAAGTCCTGGAGGTGAGCATGGGAGGAGTTGACGAGGGAGCTGATATGGCAGCTCCAGAAGCCTGTTGTGCCTCATACTGTGCCAAGATTTCTTTGACCAAGTATTTCAAATTCTAGATCTTTATTGTAAAATCTAAAAAAACAAAATTAGAGGTTGTTACCTTCCTGTCATGTAACCACTATAGCACAGTATAACTATATGATATGGATTTCAGTAGTCGATGTTGCAGACATGATCACACATTCCTTTATACTGTAATGAACTGCAGTCACTTCTTGTATAAGATAGAAATATACTAAGTGTTAATATTTCTCTTCACAGGTGATGCATATATAGAAGGAGAGGGTTTGGAAATGGTAGATGGAGTTACAAGCCCTGGAAAAATGTACGTATAATCCGGTTTCACATAGGTGAAGAAAGCTCACAGGTAAAATAGCTTCAAAATGTCATCTACACCAAATGTAAGTGTTGTCCATACACGCTTGTGCGATGCAGCAACACCCGATGAAATGCAAACGTTCCTACAACACGTGGCAATGCATTGATATGTGGTGCATTGCAATTGCCATATATTGTGAATGGCACCCCAACACACGGCCCTGTTTATCGTAGATGAAAATATCCATCCAATTACCTTTTTTCTTTTGTAGTGATGCGACTACATCACCTGAAGGTCAGCTCCACAATAGTGCAGGATTAAGCTGCAGTGAAATGCCTGGTCCACCAGAGGTAACTCAGAGGAAAAGGAAACAAGAATCACTGAATCCACTTCAAAAATATCATATGAGGTATTTGGCTGTGACCGACCTTTGCTCCCAGATGTGGTGTGAACAACAAATGGTATACAAAATTGAGCAGCCAGCAGATCTCCTACCAGAAAAGACTGCTGCAATGAATGAAGGATCTAGTATACATCTGGCCAGAGGTGAGGCATTTCCTGTCGTTTGTTTCAATCACATATTTGAAGTTTGATGTAAAGTGCATCCCCACTCATAGAAAATAAAGATATGTACATCGGCCACCAGAAGGAGCTTCCAGTGGCTCAGTGCGATTGCTTATTGCCTGTTATTATAAGAATGTAGCCACATTGGAAGGGAAATGTTTTCCATGAGTAAGCCAGTTCATAGAATTTTATTGTGAGTAGAAGCGGTAAAGTATAAGGCTGTGCACACACCTTACAACCATCGCAAGACTTTTGTCTTGCGATGGTTGTAAGGTACATAAAAAAACGTACGATCTGCCTATCTTGCATAGGCAGATCGTACTTGCGATGATCGCAAGCCAATGACCTCAATGCTGAATTGCAATGGGTACATGGACTGTAATCTTACAGTAGTAGAGGTCGCACGGCTTCCACACACCTTGCGATAATAGTACGATCACTGGATTTCCCGCGATTATCGTACGATTATCGTAAGGTGTGTGGGGACCTTAATGTAGCACTGAACAGGAAAGTGAGCTGAATTAGAGAATTTTTCCAAATCAGCTATTTTGGTCTAGATGTATCACTTCCCCAAACTCTTCACCATTTTGTGAATAACCCTGAAAGTATCCAAAGCCCCTGAAAATAAAAATAAAAAACCCTTTAGTGCTCCAGTTTAAAAGAAATTCAAACAGTTTTTTAAAGATTTTACCATTTTTAAAAATGTAAAAAAAAGGAAAATAGTTAAGGAAAGTAAAAAAATAAGTTTAATAAAAATATGATAATAAAATATAGTGCCGAGGAGGCTATTAAAGTTATTAGACAAACATACCACATTCTAAAATTGTTCCATACTAAAATTGTGTCTCACTCCTTTTTAAATAATTTTTTTAAAGAATTTCTATATGTATATGTCACATCAAATTAAAGCCCATTTTGTCCTTGAAAAAAACGGTATATAATATGTGTAGGTGCAATGAATGAGGAAGATGGAAATTATGGTTAAACAAACACATAGCAAAAATGTTAAAATTGCTCCAGTCCCCAGGAACTACAAAAATTTTGGAAGCTATGCCACTAAGGTGTTAAAGGGATAGTTCTTCGTTGTGTCCCCTAGACAGGAAGTCGGGTGAATTCACCCCATTGGAGACAGAGATCACTTAAAACCTGACAGCAGCTCTAACGTTTTAACACTATTCCTAAAACTAGAAAAAAAATGTTTCACTGAGAGTTCAAATTTAATGCTAGCCCTTAATGGTAGCATTAATATTTATTTATTTATTACAGGTATTCAGTGTATCCAGAGCTTTACATACTATTCACATCAGTCTCTGCTCTCAAGAAGCTTACAATCTAAGGTCCCTGTATCACATACATACACATATTAGGTCCAATTTAGACAGGAGCCAGTTAACCGACCAGCATGTCTTTGGAGTGCAGGGGGAAAGCAGAATGCCCAGAGAAAACTTGCATGAAAAAAAAAGGTAAAACATGCAGACTCTACGCAGATAGTGTCCTTGCCAATGTTTAAACTGAGGACCCGAGGCGAGCAGAATTGCTAACCAGTCAGCCACTGTGCTAATTATTTTAAGAAAACTGTTATAACATATATGAATTATAGAACTAGCATATGTGAGTTGTACAGCTATTAATACATTGTGTAGATGTGTCAAAGTAAACCGTCCACTTAATATTTACCAGAGTTGGAGGTACATGATGTTGTATCGGTGACCACACGGAACCGTGAAGACTCCTGGGCGATAAAATGTCTCAATATTTTAGCTATGATTCCAGTTTTGCAGTCCGGTAAGTCAGCATATAGGTTACTTTGTAAACTATGCACATAAATCTAGAAAGATACAGTACCCATCTTGACCCCTTGGTCATATTCACGCTCCACTTTACATTATCATTGTATTCCTTGCTAGCACCTGATTACTATGCTTCCCCTTCACTAAATGACAGCACCACAAGAGAGAGTGGATCCACCAACCTGAAAGTGACAAGTTATACATTTAGATTTGATTCCTCCCTTTGATCCCCAGTGGTTTCCTTTCCCCTTCAAATTAGGAGCAGGCAACCCATAGCCAATTGGCTTGTATTCTAAAGCACTGGATCTCTCTACCTGGACTTCTTCCTCTTACTTGGTGATCCCAGGTGGGGTGACCACAATGAGAGCCAGCTGGGCAGGAGGCTTGGTGTTGAGTAGCAGATGCTTAGAAGAGCTTTTGCCTCCAGTCACCAGAGGTAAGTCTTACAGGTACAAGCCCCTCTGGGTCTCATGGGAGTCACCATGCTGGGTTCCCCACTGATCCCTGGCACATGTGAATCACAGCTGCAGCACATTCTTACTTCCATCATCCGGTAAAGCTAAAGTGCACAGACGCTGTCCCTTGGAGATGCTCAGATGCACTCTCTGTGAGCATGTGTGGCCATGTTATGTCAGAGCCAAACTGTCAGCCGTCACGTGTGGCTTTGTTAGAGTGGTGCAGGCACATGACATTACATGCCTGTGCATAGGGGTTGGCTGTTCCAATGTGGTTCTGGAGGATACCCACGTACTGGATTTCAATGGCTGCACTATGGATACAGATAGTGATGAGGCACTTCACAGAGATACAGAGGCTTCAGGAGATGCCTCTGAGTAAGTGGGAGTCATGTCTCTCTTTTTTTTGTGTTTATCTTTGACTTTAAACCTTGTTTATAACTTCCTTCTGCTTACCTTCCAAAAAGCGAAAGTCCTTGAAGGAAAGAAAACTACACCTGCTAGCAGAAGTTATGCATAAACTGCACTCATAAGATTGTAAGTGAAGTAACCCCATCCATGCTACAATCTATTATGGATTTTTGTTGGACAGAAATTCAATCCCTTGTGAAAGCAGTAGCAGCTTCTTCCATAATGCAGCCTCAACAGAAGCCCCATTTAACCCCTTAAGACTCTTTACATGATGAAGAGGATGAACAGAAATGTTTAAGATTGAAATGAAGAAATCTAATTTGTTTGGGGGGTTTTTTCAGCAGAAGAGACAAATGATTTATAGATTATGATCTAAAATGGTTTAATAGATTCTATGACGAAGAAAGAAGAAAATGTACAGCAGCTATCTTTTATAACGTTTAATCAAGTGTAGTTTAAACTAGAAGAAAAACAGGAAATGATTCTCCGTACATAAACATGTAAAATTGTTAATCACTAAAGAATGGAAAGCAATAGAAAAATGTGTATGCTGAAATCATATAAAACTAGATAACTGTATGCTGAGGAAAAATACGAAATGGATAAAGTACAAGTCGTGGGTTGCCTCAATGTAGGCACCCCACCCTAACCTCTCCCCCTAGGATTCGTAGAGTAAGAAAATTTTAAAAAAATATATAGGGTTTTCGGAGAGGTATAACAGACCATGCATATATATATATATATATAAATATGTGTAAAAATATCAAATGTATTTAAACATACAGATAAATAGTTAAAATTTAATTTTAACTATGTATCTGTATGTTTAAATATATTTTATATGTTTTTTTCAAATGTTCTTACAAAATGGATAAAGCCTGAAAATTGACTTTCCATTATCTAAGCTCAGATCAGTTATCTAAGAAATCAGAACTACCCTTCAATGATATGGGGTCATTAAAGATCACACGGACAGAAGGGCAGAAGGAGTTCTGAAATACACATGGGAAGCATGCTACAGCAGTAGCAAAGGCCATGAGATCTAGATGAAATAGCTCCAACATTACCTGTTCTCGGACACTCCTAAAGAGAAAGTGCTGGTTTCTCTTCCAATTATTTTTAATGCAGTACATCACATCTGTTATGTCTCAGCAGATGCAGTTAGAATAGCGGCAATAAAAGCTTGGTGGCGGGGACACAGTCTCAAAGCTAGGCTATGTGGAGTGCATCTTGAAAGGGAATACATATTTGGTGAGGTGTAAACTGGATGATATTCTAGATAAGGTGGCAAATGAGAAAAAAGATTTTCCAGCAGACAAGAAAAGCTTGTACATACTAAGGATTTTCATCCCTAAAAGGAATACAATCAAATAAAGGCAAAATCATTAAAGGAGAACTATGGGGTAAGTGTTTTTCCCCATAGTTCTCCTAAGGGTCACGGGAAGACATAAACTAGCGTCCTCCCATGATCCAAAGCTCAGTATATCGCGAGCTACAGCTTGCGGCATACTGAGACCGCCACAGCCGGGATTGATCCCGACATTACTGTCGAGATCCGCCTAGCTGCGTGAGTGACAGTTGCCTCTGCCTATCTAGAGGCAGAGCCAGCTGTACCTGCCCCCTCCCCCGTCCGTCTAGCCAGTCAGCGCTGGAGGGGGAGAATCCCTGCAGGGAGCCATGAGTGACAGTCACGGCTCTCTGCAGGGACCTGATCGCGAAGTGAGCGAGTGACGGTATGTGTTCGCTCACTTCCCGATCTATTGAGCCGACATGTGACAGTTTCATTGTCACACGTTGGTTCGAACTATGAGGTTGAGTGAAAATCACTCACCTCATAGTTCTCCTTTAAACTGAAAATTTTAGAAGGAGAAGTGCAGAGGATTTATCTTCAGTCTTAAACAGAACGCCCCCTAATCTCTCCCCACAGCCATGACATTATGGTTGAGTGAAGCTTTTTGACATTCACTGGATCTATGGGGAAAGATCATATCAAATTCCTGGGTGTTTCAAGTCATTCCTTAGGAATACAGGTTAGAGCTAGAACGAGTACCTCTACCACAACTCAGGACTACCCCATGTATAACCTCCCCAGAATGTCAAATGGCCCTAAAAAAGCTATTACCTTTATGATCTCACAAAATGTTCTGATTCCAGTACATCTGTAGGAGAGAGGCAGGGTTTTTATGTCTCAGTGTTCCTGATGAAAAAGCCCAAGTGGAATCGGCAGTAAATAGGCCCATTGCTCCATCTGATTGGGATAGGGCATTTGCATTCTCCCACAAAATCACCAACTCCAGTAGACTATAAGTATGCAACTACAAAATCATTTTGAGATGATGCTACTGCCCCACAGACCTCCATACATGCAACCCAACAATCTCTGACAGATACCTCACAGAAGAGAAATATGACACACATCTGGAGTACATACTCCTTAAAGTGGACCTTTACCCCCCTTTGACTAAAAATTACCCCAGCATAAAGCTCTGCATGCTGATATGAAATCATCTTACATTCATTAGCTAAAAAAACATTTGTATTTTATTTACAATTTCTCTTTTTTTTCTACTTCCTTGGCCACTTTGGCACAAATTATGTAATTGTTCCCAAAGCATTGCATACTGGGAAGGTTACATCAGCAGAGCATTGATAGGAAACCTCATCTGTAATCTCATGAGATCTCAAGGAAAGGCATTTTCCTCCCCTGAGATGATATGTAAGGTCACATGTCCTAGTCACATGTGCTAGAGTTCCAGGGAGATCTAGTAACCTGACCTTAGTTAAAATGGCCACTGTCAGAAAACTGGGGAAGAAAAAAAATAAGGTATGAAAAAAATAAAAAGCCGGCAATTATCTAGAAGTATCTGTTTGTAGATGGTCATTACTAAACATTTCTAAAGGCATGTGTGTTGTTATTTTGAAGATATGGGTAAAGTTCCTCGTTAACTGAACATTTTTGGCACAAAATACTAACAATTTATGTTAGTAATTATGTTAGTAAGCGCATCACAGACATTGAATTGAAAAACTGTACATGCATTACTCTACTTTGCATCCTATTGGGTTCTTATAAAACTGTAAAATGGGCCTTCTGGCATGATATCCTTGCTGCAGCTCACACAATCATTTCTGGGCACAGGAAGTCACCACAACCTTCTATGACCGTGGAGTGGGTATGTGAACTTGAATCTGTTAAACAAAAGTTCTCCTCGGAGGAGGATACAACTGAACTTTTCTTAATGATATGGGCCCAATAGGACCATGTTAAGTCCACAGCTAATATTGCATCTTACCTATCAAAGATTTAGAGCTGAAACCTCTAACCCTTTTATGTTCCTTCTTCTCCCTGCTCTCCTTATTTATTCCATTAGTCACCCTACTGTAATATTCTCTTCCCCCTCAACCCCTCCTGCCCCTTATTTTTTTCTTTTTCCCTTTTCTCCCCTGCTATTTTCCTTTCGTGTTACCTCTCTTGCCCTGTTCTCTCTGTGCCTCCTTCACCTTGCCACCCCCATTTTTTCCCTCATGTTTTTCGTGAAGTAGTTTCTCTAGTTCCCTCCTAGTGCACAATTCCAGCATTACATTCATAGCCACATAGACAATAAGATATCATTTTGTATGCTTACAGTAGGAACTGAAGGGGTGAAATGGAGTCCTTTTTTATATTCATTATTATATGTGTATTCATATATCTGACATATATAATATAATTTGACAACACCTATACTTTTCCTCCTTTGTACATACAAACTAACAATTGGACACACTATACTATGCACAGTTTGTATTATTTCTCCTCCTCCTTTTCTTTTTTTTTTGCTGTCTGCAGCTTCCTGCCCTTAAAAGAGAACTATGGGGTAAGTGTTTTTCCCCATAGTTCTCTTAAGGGTCACGGAAGGACATATGCTAGCGTCCTCCCATGACCCAAAGCTACAGCTCGCGGTATACTGAGGCCGCCGCAGCCGGGACGGATCCCGACATTACTGTCGAGATCCACCCAGCTGGGTGAGTGACAGCTGGCTCTGCCTATCTAGAGGCAGAGACAGCTGTACCCGCCCCCTCTTCTGTCCGTTCCTCCAGTCAGCGCTGGAGGATCAGAGCGGGGAGGGGGGGAATCCCTGCAGGGAGCTGTGACTGACAGTCGCTGCTCTCTGCAGGGACAGGATCGAGAAGTGAGCGAGCGACGGTATGCGTTCGCTCACTTCCCGATCTATTGAGCCGACGTGTGACAGTTTCATTGTCACACATCGGCTCGAACTATGAGGTTTAGTGTTTTGCTGTCCTAAAGCAAAGGGAGGAAAAAGAAGAAGTTATACTCGCTGGTAATGCTGTTTCCATGAGTCTCCATGACAGCACATGGCTTCCTTCCCTTGTCTCCTCCTTACTTACCTGTAAAGTTATTGTAATATTCCATGTGGATCAGGAAGAGGTGTCAAAATACTGTAATGTTGGGGAGCTTGCAGAGCACTCACACAGGGCTTTTCCAAAAAACAAAAGTCTTAATTGTTTTCTCTTTTAAGGCAGTCAAAGACAGAAAACACAAATGAAGGCTTAACTTCAGCTAAGTTCACTTATTGTCAGCAAATAGGGTATATTGTCTCACTGACTCAAGGTTCTCCCATTCACTCAGTGTCCCAGTCCCAGGACTTTAACGTTTGCCTCACCAAAACACCTCAGTGGTACTGCATGCCCTTTAGCCGCTTCCAGCAGCTTTCCACACACCTTGTGTGCCTGGCTCTCTCAGCCTGTCAAATCCCCCAGCCTCCCTGGCTGTTCCTTGTGTGGATCCACCACACCACCTGGCTTGACCCTCATGTGCCTCCAGCACACACCAAACCACCACCCCACTGACCTCTGGTCTGGATTCTAAATGAAGCTGCTGTTAGCCAGAGCCGTAGCTAGCTTCTTTTGCGCCCGAGGCAAGAACAGAAAATTGTGCCCCCCAACAGACGTGTTATGTCACCCTATGCCACGCACGGCGTCATGTGACGTCATGTGCCCCACCTCCAGGACGGCGGCACCAAATGGCATACAAATTTGTTTCGTTTGACGAAACTAATGAAAACATTTTTAGTTTCTGTTCATTTAGTCTTTGCACATGCCTAATAGTGTGTGTTTTTTGGGGGGGCGGGTTTTGGGGGCTTCGAGAAAATGTCAGGGGTCTAAACAGACCTCTGACATTTCCCTTTTGAAATAGAAAAAGAGATTGAGGACGCAGAGTCCTCTGCCCATGCAGCGGGGAATGCGAGGAGAAGCTGTGTTGGACGTATGGCGCCCTGTGCTCGCCATGGCAACAGGGGTGAGGGGGCGCAGCCAGGCTGGCCCTGGCTATGCCCCCTCTCAGCTGCACCTGAGGTGAGTGCCTCACTCGCCCCATGGTAGCTACAGCCCTGCTGTTAGCCACCTGATCAGCGCAGACTGGTCATTGGCAACACCTGTCCCCAGGACTGGAGATTTCATCCCACCCAGAGCTCTATGAAATCTCCAGAGCTCCAGATCCCAGCTACAATTAGGAAACCCAGAAGAAACTGAAAAGCCAGCTTCTTCCTTTATAGAATGGTTTACATTCTGGGACCTCTCAGCCCCTCTGGCTGAGAGTCCTGGGTGCCAAAATTGCCAAACTACACCGTGGCATTGTCATGCACTGCCACAATATATATTTTGTACATGTTCCTTTTAAATAGGTGGATTCCCACTCTATTGTCGTGCTGTCATGGAGTCCTGTTGAGCAGACATTACTGGCAAGTGTTTTTCCATCTCTTGCTGAACTCTATATGGTTATCTTCATCAGTAAAGAGTCCACTAAAATCTGTTTAATTGCAATGAACTGGACTTGGCCAGGGGCAATTGTGCTCTTGCCATGAGAGAAATATGGAGACTGCTATTGTTGACCTACTTCTGAAAATGTTATTTGCCTGACTGTTTGCCAAAGCATCTGTGTGAAAGCCAGTGAAGTAGCATTTTCCAAAGGAGAGGTGATGCAGTGCCTACCTTTTATATTTTTTTAATGTGTCTTGAACTTGATTAATATTTTCATCTTACAGGTGGTCGCATTCGTGAATTTCCTGTGTTTGGAGAACTGGATGGTATTTTCATGGTGGGAGTAATTGATGAATTAGCTTATTCCTCCAGTGGTGAGCTGGAGCTGCGAGAGCTAAAAACACGAGCAACCCCAACACTGCCTCGACTGGCTCAGAAAAGAACTCACGAGCTCCAGGTAGGCTCGTGTGTATATTATCCTTTTTTTTTTATTATTGGAAACAGATTTAAATGATGATTGCAACGTTACCAATTCCAAATGTAAAAATAAAAAGTTTACGCTTCTCTAGAAATATGAACTACAGTGGTACCTCGGTTCACGAACGCTTCTGTGCGCTAGCAATTCGGTTCGCGAACAGGAAGTTCGGCAAAATTTTGCTTCCGTTCGCAAACTCCGCTTCGGGTGACGAACACAACCGCAGCCATTTTCCCTACTCTGACACATGGTTATGTCTTCCTCTAGTCAAGATCACGGTCTGATCACAGCTTGATTCAGTTCACGACCAAATCGGTTCGCGACCAGAATCGTGGGACGAATTAAGTTTGTGAACCGAGGTACCACTGTATATGTCAGAGCTCTTCAATGAGAACACTTTACTTTATTCACACCTGTTGATTGTAGGACTTGTTGCAGTTGCCTGCTTACTTGATGGTATCAAAGGTATTTTCAAGCCCAACTCCACTTGTGCACCCACCCCCACCCTTTATGAAGCCCCCTCGTCTTCTGCAGTCTTCAGGTCGGTTCAGTGATGTCATGGGTCCTTCATCTTTTCTACCAGTGGCAACAGTGAGTGGTCATTACTCCTGGACAGCACAGAGCACACACAATGATGTGTGAGAGCTGTGCTGTCCAGAAGTACAGTGAAACCAGGCCAGGGTGTTGATTTATCCCCAGGGAGATGTTCATGAGAACCAGGGCTCAGAGGAAGGTGCGTTTAATGATGTCAAACATCATTCAACCTGGAAGAAGACATCAACAGGGGCAGGTGAGTTATGCAGTGGGAGCTGCTTTCTTTTTTTCTCACATGCTAAGCAATAGTTTACTATTATTTACTGACTTGACCACCAGCATTATGCAAGTGCCTATAAATCTAACTAAGGCATGCCTCAGGTACACCAACCAAACTACACAGCTGGTATATTCCTAGTGCTCCCAGCTATAGATGCCGGCAATATCACCAGGGAAGAGTTTTGTCTTCAGCAAGGTGACAACAAACCTGACTTTAGGTAGTCCTTTTGTTATCAGTATACAGAACCCCTTTAAATAAGGTATGGACTCTGAATTGAGCGGAGGAACGCAGGGAGGTAGACATCTGTCCGTCAAACAGTACAGATGGTCTCTACATAAGTCTTTAAACACAGCAGAAGAGAGGAAGTAGAGCAGAAGTAAAATAATATTTTATTTTGTCAGTGAGAAAATAGAATTGCTCCCATCACATGGAGATGTCTACCTAGCTAACCTATCTGAGGGAAAAAGAGAGCATTTTAAGTGTTCTGTCCATCCCTTAGGGCTTATAGACCACCCTAAACAATTTTCTAAATGTAAAAAAAAAGTGGGGAAGGCCCAAAAGCTTTGTTAGGTTGTTGCTGCTGTATATGCTTGCTGGGAAGGATTCTCCTCACTCCTCTTCCAAGCAACAGTGGTCACCTAGGCAAGAAGTGAGTTGAAATTCTCTCCAATAGGGACACAGACAGCAATATAGGCACTTGGGGGAAGGGTCTGAGCCTCTGTCATGTTTCTATTAGCTGAGTATTTTTGTTAGAGAAGATTGTCCCCATGCTCTATCCCAAGGACAGGAAAGAAAATAAGGGGGTAAGCTCCTCATTATGAACCCTGACAGCAATAAAAATCTTAGGAAGATTAGTCACCACATGATTTGTACTTGTGGACCACACAATGCCTGTTCCTATCTTGTCTGCACTCTTTCACCTGTCCAATCCACACACATTAACCCTTTGAAACACTTGACCAGATGGTTACAAGGCCTGGCCCCTGGCATGGGTGCGCATGGCTTGCTTAAAACCATGCAGGTATCAACTTGATACAGTTTTAAAAATCTACTGGCAGGACTTTTGAACATGTAAAGTGGAGGATTCTACAATAGGGGGTGTAGACCAGGTAGGAAAACATACCGTGGAGTATTTTTTTTCTTTAGATCTTCTAGACATAATTATATGTTTTTCAGGTTTGTGTATACAAACTGCTGTTCGATGGCATGGTGAGTGGTGTTCTACAATCAGAATGTTTAATCCAGATCTTGAACCTGAGACCAGAACAAGAACTGGGACCTGAAGTAAAGGAGCACGCAATTCAGTCTGGGCTTACTGTGTCTACATTGAAAGATATCATAGAGCTGACCTTCCTGAACCTGACTTTCTCAGAGCTTCCCAGGATTGACAGCTTGAAGCTGGAATATTGCTATCAGGGGGATGGAGCCTTCTTAGGATGTGACATCGTGAACTTCAAAGAGAAGAGCGTCATGGAACAAGTGACATTTTATTTATCCTTCTGGAAAGGACAGAGAGAGATCCAGGGTGTTGATATCGAAGACACTTGGAAGTGCAGAATGTGTAACTATTCCAATATATGTGAATGGAGGACACAGAGAACTAACACTGCACCTTACAGGACCATGGCAAAGAGATTGAAATAAAAACTGACACTTTCCGCTATGAAATTATGACATTTAAAAAAAAAAAAATCCTCTTCATTGCAATTCCAGTTCTGTCATATGGTCTATATTGACCACCTTCCTCTCTTCATTTTAACACTGGCGCAGTATTTTATATGATTTATAATATGTGTCGATTTTATCAATAATTAAAAATGTTTTAATATTATTCCTCAGCCTTTTTTTTCTCTCTTTTTTATGTTGCGGTATTTCTAGCATTCATTTTGTTGTTTTATATAATAAACTCTCTCTCTCTCTCTCTCTCTCTCTCTCTCTCTCTGTGTCTATAACAGGCCATGAAAATTGATCAATGAATAGGCTGTAACTTGGGATTAGTTCTTAAAGAGTAATAGGTTACAGTAACCTCAATATAGAAACCCTAGCACCATCTTCGAGAAGAGCATTCGTTGGCAGTAATGGGGTTAATCTTTTACTGGCTGGGACATGCCCCACCTTTCTGCTTTCGCATAGTAGAAACGAAAGTAAAAGTTGTTACAAGTGAAGGACCGAGACAGCGTTTTAAGGCACTGCAATGGAGTGCAGGCTGACTCGAACTATTATCATCTGTGTACTTCTAACAGCAGGTAAGTGACCATGTCACGATATATATACTGCATATGTGACTGTTAATAAGCCTGTCGTGCTCAGAGATCACAGTTGGGCACACTGAAGTTCCTGCAGAAATGCATGTAAAACCTTTATAATAATCGGCTCAATGCTTAGCACTCTTGCCTTGCAGCATCGGAATCTCTTGTTTGGTCACCAATGAATACACTGTGTTTGATTTACTAAAGGGCACATTCACTTAGCAAAAAAGACTCAATCTCATACAGGGTTAGTAAAAAAAAAAAAAAAAAAGAAACACACCCAACCCGACTACACTCCAGGTACCTTAAGGTGCCAACACACCTATTGATTTTCACTCGGAAATCGTACACGAATGGTCTTGCTAACGATAATCGATCAGTTGATGGGACACCAACAATTTTAATTATTGTACTTCTGGCTGGATTTCCTCGATCGATCAAGCTGAACATTTTTTCTCAAATCATACAAAAATTGATGGATTAGTGGCGTTTTCTTACAAGAAAAATTGAAGCAAGAACACTGCACATGCGCAAACAAAAATCCATTCTGTCGATCTGCAAAGTTAAGTGAGTTAGTATTGTTGACGAATGATTATCGAAATCAACATTGGTCTGTGCATGATGGGGTATTTGAGCTAGGATCGAAAGAGGGTTCTTGGCAGCAACGAAAATTCCTGATCGAAAATCTATAGGTGTATGGCCAGCTTTACAGATGCCAGGGATAAGCCAGGGTGCACATTATTATTATTATACAGGATTTATATAGCGCCAATAGTTTGCACAGCGCTTTACAATATAAGGAAGACATTACAGTCACAATACAATTTAAGACAAGATGGTAAGGAGGGCCCTGCCCGTGAGGGCTTACAATCTAAAAGGGAGGGGCAAGTGATACATGAGGAGGTAGCTGTGCAGGGATGATTGTTTGAGAAAGTGATTGTTCAGTGGTTAGGTTGAGGTGGGATGGGCTTCCCTGAAGAGATGAGTCTTAAGGGATCGCCTAAAGGCAGTCAGTGTGGGAGATAGACGGACAGGTTGGGGTAGAGAGTTCCATTGCACTGCACATGTGCTGCAGCCACAAATGAAAGCATTTATAGGACAGAAGGCAAAGGGTTTTATAGTCCGAAACTTGCATCGTCTATTCTGCTAAAAACTCTGCTAGCAATTTTCTTTGAATATATCAATTTTCTCTTTAAAATGAAAGTAAACTTGATAGGTAGGGGTTGGGTGTTGTCATAATCTGCAAGTAAGCACAACACACACCAAGCTTCTTCTGTGCTGTCCTTCAGCAAGGACGGGTCCAGACACCTGTCACTGCTACGTCCCCCACAACCATCTCTACTGCAGATTCTTCCGGGTCCTTTGGCAATCCTCTATGACCACTGATGATCATCATGCGCATGCCAGCACATGGCCCATTATCTTGCATAATGAGCCAAGAGTGTACACTGCATGTTGCATGCACCTTACAATGTACACTGAAAATTAAGAAATTCTGGATTTTAATAAACCTACCTTTGCAGTGGGGCTACCCCTGCTCTGCAAGGGTGAAGTGCCTGTTTTTCTTTAGGGGATGGAATAAAGCAGATATACTCACCTGATCCTCGATCTCGCTGAGCTGCTAGACAGGCCCCCTAGCCCCTTCTTCCCTAGGCTCTAGTGGTCTAAAGACTGCTGACGTCATCACGTTTAATGCAGTTCATTGAATTGCATTAGATGTGAGGATGCCGAGTGACATTCCACAGCCGGAGCGGAGGGGAAGGGTTGTGAGTGCCGAACGACGCGGGACCGAGGATCAGTTGAGTGTATTTTCTTTAATCCATCCCCTAGAGAAAAACAAACCATTAACACTTGCATTTCGGGGGTATCCCCACTGCAAGGGAAAGTTTTTTAAATGCCCGGAGTTTTTCTTTAGAACGTGATAGGGGAAAAACTTTACATGTCTCTTTAAACAAAACACATGCGCTAGCCTCTAAAAAGCAATCCGTGGTGGTCAAGGAGGATCTCCATCTGCCATTTCCTGGTTTTGTCCCACTTTCTCTATACGTCCCAGAATAGGGCATCCCGATCATTGTGACTTTGTTGTGACTGTACCGAATGCATGCTTGCTTATAGTACTAACTTAAGAAACATCCAGGAAAAAGGACAGGTCAGCAAGAACTGGCAACCCATGTGTTTGTCTCATGACATATTTCCTCTGAATGAAGAGACAGCAGAAATAAACACAGATCAACCATAACATTATGAGGACTGACATGTGAAGTGAATAACATTGATTATCTTGTTACCGCAGCACCTGGAAGTGGTGGGGATATATTAGGCAGCAAGTTAACATTAAGCCCTAAAATTTATGTTGGAAGCAGAAAAAATGGGCAAGTGTAAGGATTTGAGTGACTTTGACAAGGGCCAAATTGTGATGGCTTGGCGACTGGGTCATAGCAACCCCAAAACTGCTGCTCTTTTTGGGATGTTCCCACGTCTGCAATTGTCAGGACCTACTATGGGCACATGAGCATCAGAACTGGACCACGGAGCAATGGAAGAAGGTGGCCTGGTCTGATGACTCATGTTTTATTTTACATCATGTGGCTGTGTGTGTGTGTGTGTGTGTGTCACTTACCCGGGGAAGAGATCACACAGGATGCAATATGGGAAGAAGGCACGGTGGTGGAGGTGGTGTGATGCTTTGGGCAATGTTCTGCTCAGAAGCCTTGGGTCCTGCCATTCATATGGATGTTGCTTTTAACACATACCAGCTATGTAAACGTTGTTGCTGACCAAGTACACCTCTTCATGGAAACAGTATTCCCTGATGACAGTGGCCTCTTTCAGCCGGATAATGCACCCTGCCACACTGCAAAAATGGTTCAAGAATGGTTTTAGGAACACAACAATGAGTTCAAGGTGTTGACTTGGCCTCCAAATTCTTCAGATCTCTATCCAATTAAGCATTTGTGGAATGTGCTGGAAAAACAAGTCCGAACCATGGAGGCAACATCTCACAACTTACAGGACTTAAAGAATCTGCTACTGACGGCTTGGTGCCAGACACCACAGGATACTTTCAGAGGTCTAGTGGAGTCCATGCCTCGTTGGGTCAAGGTTGTTTTGGTGGCAAAAGGGGGAACTACTCAGTATTAGGAGGGTGATCATAATGTTATGGCTGATCCGTGTATTTCAGATGTAGCGTGACGTGTCAGGGTATGTTTTACTGAAAGAGTTACACTGGATTACTCCTAGCTGTCCACAGACACAATATTACCAAAAGCATCTCTTGTTTGGATACTGTTAAGCTTCAAACCAATACATAAGAGGGATGGCAATATTAAAAATAAACTTTAAGAAAAATATGGGAGCTGATATTGCATTGTAAATTTTTTAAGGAACATTATCTAGCTCGGTGCCCTCATCCTTATCCTTCTTCTCTATTTTGTGAGTCACTGACCTGCAATAAGTACGCAGTCAGTGACATCTCCTGACCTATGTACTTGTTCTGGGCCAGTGACTTTGCATTGAAGCAAGGATGAAGAGGATAGCTCTCATATTTCTATCCAGCTAGGTGTCCTATGTGCAGTAGAAGTCATACTGAATACATACATTGGTTTTCAGAAAAACAGCTTGGCTTTTTTTTTTTTCAGGAAGCTGGTTCTTCGGAGTGGAGGCATTTATAAAACTTAATTGTCAGTATGAAAAAATTCAGGAGGGTCAATGGATGAATGCAAGTCTACCTCCACAAAAAGCCTGGCTGGTTGTGGGTAGCAGGCCAGAAGTGTACAAGACTCTAGAAGGACCGACATTTGTTTTTAAAGGTCAGAATGTAAAACATATTTTTAGAAAGAAAATGTTTTTCTACAAATCACTTTGTCTTCATCTTTTTTGGTAAACTTGCTCTGTATTTTTATGTGCATACATTTTTGTTCTATTCAGTACTAAAAAACATATATTTTTTAATTTCGTTAAATTTTTCTTGTAGCTGGTACCCAGATAGCAAGCAATTGAGCTGCAAGTTTGACTTGCTAAACTATTACAGACTTGCCAAGCTTCACAATTTTGTTGCACAATTACAGCAAGTCTGCATTGCAAGTCTCCAGACCAGCAAGCTTGCAGATCTCTTGCTAAGACCTGCAGGACTCTTGCTGTAGACTTGCCAAGCAAATTTGCTACACATTCAAAAAGTGTCAACTAGAACTTGTGCTGCAAGTGTTCTGCAAGTCTACAACTTTCCAAGAATATGTGCAGCAAGTTAACAAGAATTACAATTTAACCCTGCCACAAGTTTGTGGCAAGTTAGCCTTGCTATCTAGGTAGGCGGTAACCTCAAAGCGGCTGTTTTTTGCAGCTCAGTTTTGCACAAGTCATTCTACATTCACTGCATTATTAGGGGAGGAACTGCCCCCCCAAAAAAAGATATGTCTGCTTCATAAACAGAGTGCCTGCAAACTAGCCTATTGAAGCAATGCTGGGCTTTTAATTTATATTTAAATTTAATTTTAAAAGAAAACCCAGTGCCAATTATGGATGCTGCATTGCATGTGTTCATTTGTACAATTTTATATATAACTATTTAAAAAAAAAAGTAAACACAAATTATACTCTTGTAGCACTCCGTGACAGAGACTGATGTTTGATAATATTACACAATGTTCCTGATTTTGGTAGGAAATTATTCTGCTAGCAGAGGATAGTGTACGCACAGGCTGTGTAATGAACAGTGTTTGATATTACATTTTTCAATAAGAATAAAATGATAATAAAAGCAAATTTTCATGGTGATTTTTAGGCATCTTCAGATGTCACATATTTTCTTTAGTGGAAGATTATTTGATTGTACTCCTCTGTTGGTAGCATATATATATATATATAAAAACTTTAAGCCCAATTTAAAGAAAAACTCCAGGCAAAGTTTTTCTTAACCCTTGCAGTGTGGGGGTAAGCGCTCCTTTTGGTCTAGGTACAAAAATAAAAATTATAAATAAAAGTTATACTCACCCGAACGGCAGGCAGTTATATCGCTTCCTCCAGCCTGTCTCCGCTTCGGCTGCAGCGATAGAATATCCCTCACATCCTATATCCAGTGTGTAGGACGTGATGACTCATGGACCTTGGAACACTGCAGTGGAGGTGGAGAGGGGCAGCAGGTACTGATCTAACACCAAGCCAGCTCTAGGGATCAGGTGAGTATATCTTTGTTAATTTTGCACCTAGACAAAAACAAACACTTAACCCTTGCAGTGCAGAAGTAGCCCCACTGCAAGGATTAAGAGGTTTGTTCAGAGTTCTTTTTTAAGTCACAGGAATAGATATTCAGCCAGCAAAACATTGTTCTAAAAGCTCCGTGTTTATAGTTTTACCTTCACTTACTTGTTAGAGCAGTTGGTCAATATGTCTAAATGCAATTAGACCCAGAGTTTGACCATGCTGCCCAGTGCACCCAGTAATCTATCAGAGCTAGTTAAACACACCTCCTCTCTCCCTAAGCACTGCACGTCTGTTGGAGGACGCTGGTGTTGAAGGATGTGGCTATTACTCAGCTGTGTCAGCACAGGCCACTGAAGTCAGAGAGCAGTAATCAGCATTTCTATTAGGAGAAAAGGTTTTAGAAAGCAAAGATCAGTTAATAACATATGGTAATACTGGACTAGAAAAAACAAATCTTTAGACTTTAGTTGGGCTTTACAAAGCTCTGCGGGTTTCTCTTAAATAGGTAGAATTTACCCATCTGCTCTGGGTTATCCAATGCTGACCTCCGTATGACACTACAATTTACCTGGTTGTCTCAGCCTTCAATGAGTTCTGAGTTTTTGACCCACAGCAAACATTCAGCAAGTGCAATCAAAATTAATCCAGAACTCCAGATATGCATATACAACTATATAATTGTATATAGTTATATAATTATTAAATAATTCAGAAAGTGTTAAAACAGCGGGTCCAGCAGAACCAGGCGACTAGCATTTTCAGGAGAGACAACCTACCTATTTCTCCTAGTACATGTTTCCTTCATGGCGGTGGTGGTTTTCATAACCGGTATGTCTGGTTTTTAACCTTGTTTTTGTACTTTATTTCAGTGTTATAACTTTACATTTCAATCTTTTATAAGCTCGTCACCTGATCTATGCAGTACCACCCACCCCAACATTAAAGTGTATTCATCAGTGAATCCTGAAACCTAGCCTCTTTACAAAAAAACTCAATCTACAACAGTGATAAAGTAAAATATATTACTAAAAACCAAATACACGTGCATAAAAATACAGTATATAGGTAATATTTTGAAGGAATCAGGCTCTGTTTGATATGGTCTATTGATGAAAATGAAAGTATTGTAATGCATATTACAACCACTAGATGTCACTATGACTCCATTTATAGATATATTGTTTTCATCGCTTGTAATCGGCCTAAAACTATTAAATTGATTAGCAAAATATAAAGCTAGGAAATAGGTAAACACAGAATATTTCTAAATGTATTTTGATGCCATTTAAATATTAAAATATACATCAGATACATGTTCTACAAAAGGCTACCACCTCTGGTAGTCTTCAGTCATTAAACAGCTCCCTAAATTGTTTTCTTTTTCTCTACTAAAGACAATAACTGTTAAAAACAAATTCCATAAAAACACATAACATATAACTCTCTCTAAGTTAGGTTAGTAAATGAATTGCACGAGTTACATTTCTGAAATGAATGTACAGCTTATATGCTACAGTTTCAAAAATGAATAGATCATCCAAACACAGATCAGCCTGCAGGATTTACAGCCGGCTAGTAAACAGGAGCGGGATTATCTGACATCATGGGGTCTGTTTATAAACAATTCAAAGGGCCCTTCACCCTGTGAATATCCGTGAACATTCATTTTGGGCAAATAATGCCAAAAACTATTTCAAAGGTAGTGTGTTGTAATAATACATTATGGCCACTAGATGGAGATGAGGATCATAGGGACTAAGTATATGCTGTACAGCTGCACTCAGGAAAAAGTAAATCGCCTACAGCAGAAGATGCATGTTCAAGACACCAATACCAAAATTTAGTCAGCATTTTATAGCTGAAGGGCATGGAGCTTGTCGGACAGGTAACAGTGATCTTTATGTGATCTTTACAGTGTAGTTGTTATTACTAGAGTTCTTCTCTAAATCTGCATACCTGTTTTTCTCTAAAAGTGGCTCTAAACTCAGGAGTCAAATTTCAAAAATGTATTCAAGTACCCTAAATATTAACACAAATGTATTTTATTTGTGTTTCTGATCCTCAAATCATCTCTGAATTGGTGCTGACACTGTCTTTCCTTCTGGAGGATGGCTACTTTTGTTCCCCATGTGCGTGCTGTAAAGTAGCCACCACTCCAAGCTCACTCCGGTGATGGACTGCAATCTCAATACAAATGAGTAAACTAAACATGAGATTGTAGTCCATCACAGGAGTGAGCTTGGAGTGGTGGCTACTTTACAGCACGCACATGGGGAACAAAAGTAGCCATCCTCCAGAAGGAAAGACAGTGTCAGCACCAATTCAGAGATGATTTGAGGATCCACCGCTGAGTGATACGCTAATAAGATTCTATACACTTCTGTTGATAATTAGGGTACTTGAGTTTAGTGTCACTTTAAGAAAAATGTGTACAGTGAGTCAAGTGAGACAAGATGCCAAACATACTGAAAAATAGATTTTGGATTCTCATACAGTACACTTTAAAGTTTGGGGTGGACTTTAACTGCTCACAATTACTGTATGGGTACAGCGATCCTTAAAATAAGCAGTCAAATTTTGAGTTGTCACTAGAACAGAAATAGCAGAAAACCTTTTCCAGCGGGGAAAGGAAGTACATTGAAATCTCCCCAATAGAACATGGATAGTAAATAAAAACTGACAGGGCTTCACTGTTACCTATTATATCCAAAATGGAAAAAAAGGTTTGGGCTTTAGATACCCTGTAATGTTTCTTTGTTTTCACTGTAGTGAACTCTCTTTGCAGATTCGTCGATAAATCTGATGCCATTTCTGAAAGCAGATCTAGAAAAGCTGAAATGTAAGATCAAGTCTTATTTCACAGACAACATACAGGTGTTATGGCCTGATATTCCTCCCTCTGACAATACACAGGATTCTTGGTATATTGTCACAACACAACACACCGATGAGAAGTTTCAGATGTCAACATTCTTCACCATTCTTACCCAGACACCATCGACAGCAGAGAGAGATGATGACATACATGATGCTGTAGGTCAGTCTTTCCCAATCTTTACTTTGTATCACCACCATCTTCTGTGATTAAGCCGCACCAGTCGTCCTTCGCAGTTTAGAGCAGGATACCGTTATAAGACTTAGTCGAAGAGCCAGGTGCAGTGACCAAATGCAACCAAACAACGTTCCCCTTTTACAGTTATGACATCAGTAAAGTGAAATCTGATTGGTTGCTGTGGATTACTGCACTCTGCGCCTCTTCATTACTGGAGGGATGCTTTACTGAACAAGCCTGCTCATGTATAGTGTACCTACATTGTGGAAGCTGCACTGTTCACTTCTCCCCTGCTAACACTTAAAGGAGTTGTAAAGTCCCAGCATATACTATCCATACACTATCCCGTTATTACATCGGCATTGTAATAGGAATACACACTAGAGTTGTTTTTCATAATGTAATCAAAGCTTATTTGGAAAAATCCCTTTCATGTAGTGAGTGCTGCCTTCTGTCTGCCCATCACTTTCATCATCTTCCTGGATTTCCATTGTGCTTTGTGTCTCTTTTCCTCCTACTTGATGTGATGCAATCTTAATTTCTTAAGAGTACATATCCCATCATGTAAGGGTTGATACTAGGAATGCACCGATACCAAATGCTCCCAATGCCTATCCTGATACCAGAACTTCCAGTATCAGGAAGCCGCCCGGCTTCCTGATTGGCCGTGAAGCAGGCTCTATGCTCCTTTGTCACCAGGGAGAATGAAGCTGGCTTCCCAGCCAATCAGGAAGCTGGGGGGCGGGTAATGACTTGCCCCCAAGCTTTGTGATTGGCCAGGAAGCTGGCTACATGCTCCCATGTCACATGGTGACGAGGGAACATGGAACCGGCTTCCTAACCAAGCAGGAAGCCGGGCGGCGTGTAATGACTCACCATTCAGCTTCCTGAATGGTCACAAAGCTGGTCAATCAGGAAGCCGGGCAGCGAGTCATTACCTTCCCCCGGCTTCCTGATTGGCCAGAAAGCCGACTCCATGCTTCCTCGAGTCATTATGCGCCGCCCAGCTTTCATAATGGGATTTCCAGTATCGGTATTCGGTATCAGCGAGTACCAAAACATTTTTTATCGGTGCAGCCCTAGTTAACACACACAACAGAGTAGAATGTTTTTTTTTGTTTTTTTTGCTGCTGCAGCTTGTTTTACCTCTAGTATGTAATGAATGGATGACTCATCTGCTCATGACTCGCTTTACTGTCCCCTGCCTCCGATGTAAGAGGAAGGGGAGGACTTTGCATTGTAAACATTGTCATGTGATTGCTGTGGTGACCAATCACAGTGACCTGAGGACACAGAGCCGGTTGGATCGGTTCTATGTCTAAAGCCGCAGCTCTCTGCTGTCCAATGACACCAGTGGACCTGCCGTTTTAATACAGTAGCCAGTCCACAAGTGTTCACTATGCTGTGCATACTAGCACATTATGGCTAAAAGCTCCCGTTTTTATTTATTTATTTTTAAATGCTTTACTGCCACTTTAAATCATTTTCTAATGATCCTATGAACTGTTTTAATAAATTGTATCTACAGTACATAGAACTTTGTTTTTTTCTTCTGTCTGTAGCTACATTTACGACAAGTACCCACACTCCTCATATCTATACCAGACTTAATGACAACGTAGTTTTGGACTGCGCTTTTACAGTGGATCACAAGGCTGAAGCTTCGGTTACATGGCATTTCCAGGGTTCAGGAAGGCGAAACCTAAAACTTTTGTCTTACAATGGATCCACAAAGCAGTTGGAGTATCACAGAAAAAATAGTGTGATGCAGGTGGAGAAAATACAGAAGGGGATTGCTTCTCTTAGTGTGACCAATGTGGCACTGGAAAATCAAGGACAATTCACCTGCACTGTATCCGTGGGATCTCTCTATGCTGAACAACAGATTAACCTTGAAATCAGAGGTATGGGATTTATCATTATACATAATGTAAGAATGTCCAGATCACCAGCTAATACGTTGGCATGTTTAAGCCAACTATACTGAGTTTTATTACAGTTGTTTCTAGAATATACTGTATATGTGCATGGCATTTTTTTTTACTATAGAATCTAAAATATCAGTTTGAATTATTACTTATCTTAGTTATTAGAGCACTGTGCCAGTTATATGATTTTAACTGAACTCAGTAATTCTGGAGCTACAAGGGGCAGCTTTTTGGATTCACATACACTTTCAAGTTTGGGGTGGACTGATCCTTTAACTGCTCACAATTAGGGCTGTTGCTGATTAAAATTTTTGTGTTCGATTAATCGAAATTCTTTTTAATCGATTCATCGATTAATTATAATGCACATACAGATCCAACTACATTGGCCTATACACATACAGCACAGCAATGAAGTAATAAAATGAACTAGGATCACACTAATCCAGCACGTTATTAATCTCACGTGCCCCACTCAATATGGCCGCCGCTTGAGTGGGGCAACTCAGAATAATAACGTGCTGGATTAGTGTGATCCTAGTTAATTTTATTGCTTCATTGCTGTGCTGTATGTGTTTAGGCCAATGCCTTGGCTGGTGCTCGTGCAGAAAGTTTAAAAAAAATTTTAATCGATAAAAAAAATTTTAATCGATCAAAAAGATTAACGATTAATCGAGAAATGAATCGTTAATTTGCACAGCCCTACTCACAATTACTGTGTGGGTGCAGTGATCCTCAAAATAAGCAGGCATATAAATGTTTAAAGGAGAACTATGGGGTAAGTGTTTTTCCCCATAGTTATCCTCAGGGTCACGGGAGGACATAAACTAACGTCCTCCCATCACCCAAAGCTCAGCATATCGCGTGCTACAGCTCACGGTATACTGAGACCGCCGCAGCCGGGACGGATCATGACATTACTGTCAAGATCCACCCAGCTGCATGATTGACAGCTGCTCTGCCTATCTAGAGGCAGAGCCAGCTGTACCCACCCCCTCCCTCGCCCGTTCCTACAGTCAGCGCCGGAGGATCGGAGCAGGGAGGGGGGGAATCCCTGCAGGGAGCCGTGATTGACAGACACGGCTCTCTGCAGGGACAGGATCGAGAAGTGAGCGAGCGACGGTATGTGTTCACTCACTTCCCGATCTATTGAGCCGACGTGTGACAGTTTCATTGTCACACGTCGGCTCGAACTATGAGGTTGAGTGAAAATCACTCGCCTCATAGTTCTCCTTTAATTTACACGTTCTGTTCTTACTTGTGTAATAAACAAGAATAATACAATATCTTTCTTTGCAGAAAGCCCAGTTGTGTCTGTAAATGTAGAATCGGTGACACTGACAGAGGGAGAAGAACAGAAGTTTGTCTGTGATGCTTCCAATTATTATCCTCTGAATGTCAATATTGAATGGCTCCAGGAAGGCCAACATGGAGGATTTTTGCCAACTTTAGTGCCAAACCTCATCTATAGCAGCCACAAATACAATCGTGATGGTACCTTTAGCCTTTCCGGTTCCTTCCTGTACACAGCGTCCCTGCAGGACAGCGGCTCCACTTTCACCTGCCGCGTGGAACATGAAAGCCTCAGCATATCAATAAAGAAGAAAGTGACCCTTACAGTTCTAGGTAATGTATACATGGCCACTTTATTACACTTTACTGCAATAGTATACACAGATACATGCCACTAATGCAGCATCTACCATGGACCCAGACAGCACCAGGCGTCATTTCTCATACCTTCTAAACATCTGTTGCCTCATAACAACCATGAAGAATCCTTCATTACATTCTTCTGAGAAAGAACAAAAAATGAGAGGTGAAGTTGTAAAGTAAAACCATCTTAAAAGAAGTAACACAGGGGAGCGGCCATTGCTGACTTCCTTCTGAAACTACTAGTTATCTGACTGTACGGCTGATCTAATAGCTTTAAAGCAGAACTCCAGGCAAATCAAATCTTAACCCTTGGAGTGGTGCTATAGTGGAGTGGTGAGTATGGGGGATACTCACCCGAACCGCAATCCTGGCTTGCTCTTTCACAGCCCCCTCCAGCCTGGCTCCTCCTTCACTCCAGCTCTTTAGGCGTCCGCACGTCCAATACAGTGTATTGGACGTGATGACTCACGGAAACTTAGACCACTGGAGCGGAGGAGAAGCGAGGTTGAAGGGAGCGGTCCAAGAGCAAGCATGGATCGCAGTTCTGGTGAGTATAACTTATTTAGCTCCCTAGACAAAATGAGCACTTAACCCTTGTAGTGCTAGTGGTAACCCCACTCCAAGGGTTAAGATTTGATTTGCCCGAAATTCTGTTTTAATACTTTCCCCACACTTGTCTTTCCTTCGCTCCCCCGCCACACCATTCAGCACTGGGAGCTTGCAGACGTCCTTTTGGGTATGGAGGAGCATGTGACAGTGCTGGACCAATCAACCATGTTGCAGGGAAGTCAATAGACCTGTTAGCTATGTCTACAGCAATTCATAGGTTACACAAGGCTTTCTTTTCATTCCCGGTGGATGGATGGAACAGTGGGGGGAATGAAAGGAAGGCAAATGTATGCTGCTGGAGAGGTCTGCATTATAGTTAACCTGTTGCTTTGCCCTGTGTGTGCAAGACAAAGGTTCACCTTTAAGTAGCTTTGTATTTTGCAGAAGGAGCACGTTATTCTCAGTAAGGGGAATTTACTAAGAATGAAGCAGACAAAATCTGGAGCAGCTGTACATAGCAACCAATCAGCTTCTAGTTTTCATTTTCAAAGCTTAAAAGAGAACTGTGGGGTAAGTGTTTTTCCCCATAGTTCTCTTTAGGGTCTCGGGAGGACATATGCTAACCTCCTCCTGTGATCCAAAGCTCAGTATATAGCAAGCTATTGCCTGTGATATACTGAGAGCACCGCAGCCGGGACGGATCCTGGCAATTCTGTGGAGATCCACCCAGCTGTGTGAGTGACAGCTGGCTCTGCCTATCTAGTCCCCTCCCCTGTTCGTTCCTCCACTCAGCGCTGGAGAATCGGAGAAGGGAGGTGGAATCCCTGTGGGGAGCGGTGACTAAAAGTCACCGCTCACTGCAGGGAGACGATCAGGATAGCGCCGGCCTGTGACGGCTCTAACTATGAGAATGAGTGGAAATCATTCACCTCAGTTCTCCTTTAACTGAAAAAGCTGAAGAGAGAATCTGATTGGTTACTGGGTGCAGGTGCTCCAAATTCTGTCTGCTCCACTTTTAGTAATGCCCCATTTTGTTTTATTTGTCTGTCACCGCTGTGGAAGCCAGTGCCTGTACTTATGTGATAACTTCATAGACTAAAAAGTAGCAACAGCAAAGCTCAAAGCTGTAAATAAAATAACAAGGGTTCAGTCTGTGGCCAGCTTGATTTCTCCAGAGCAGAAAAGTATTGATCATATTTTACTTTTATTTGAAGCAAACAGCCACTTACAGACATGACATATTTCTCCACATCCAGCCATGAATTGTTCAGAATCATTAGTACAGACATCCCTGCTCAGCTGGGCCAAATATAACATCATAATCTCAAGATGTTAACAATTTGTTTAATCCATTTTTTTTTGTCTTACAGAAAAGCATGGCTGGACCTGGACATTTCTTCAAGTTATGATCATTATATTTATTTTGATCATTATATGTGGTGTAATCGCACTGTGGAAAGGTAAATGTACCTAGTTATTCTGATTTATGTATGTTATATTAGAATTCTGTTTATATTGTATAATAATGTACAATATATATATATTGTTTCTATTATAGTGAAACCTTTTAAAACAGCTTAGTTAAAGGAGAACTATGAGGTGAGTGAAAACCACTCACCCTCATAGTTCGAGCCGACGTGTGACAATGAAACTGTCTCAATAGATCGGGAAGTGAGCGAACACATACTGTACCTTTGCTCGCTCACTTCTCGATCATGTCCCTGCAAAGAGCCGTAACTGTCACTCACGGCTCCCTGCAGGGATTCCCCCCCTCCCCTGTCCGATCCTCCAGCGCTGACTGGCGGAACGGACGGGGGAGGGGGCGGGGTACAGCTGGCTCTGCCTCTAGATAGTCAGAACCAGCTGTCACTCACGCAGCTTTGTAGATCTCGACAGTAATGTCGGGATCTGTCCCGGCTGCGGCGGTCTCAGTACAGCTACAGCTCGCGGTATACTGAGCTTTGGGTCACGGGAGGACACTAGTTCGTGTCCTCCCATGACCCTTAGGAGAACTATGGGGAAAAACACTTACCCCATAGCTCTCCTTTAAGCTTAGGTACCTTGCACAGGCCACAGACTTTACAGTTGAATTGTACAACCAACTACATGCATATTAAAGAAGGGCTCCGGGCAAAAGTGCCCTTAACCCTCGCAGTGGGGCTACTGTTAACTGCTTGTTTTTGTCTAGGTGCTAAAATAAAAAAAAGTTATACTCAGCTGATCCTCAGAGCCGGATTGCTGTTAGACTGGTCCCTTCTGCCTTGCTCCCCCTCTGCTCCAGTGGTCTAAGATCCATGAGTCACCATGTCCTATACACAGTGTATAGGACGTGAGGACACTGAGGGGCATACCATCGCTGGAGCGGAGGAGAAACCAGGCTGGAGAGAGTGCTGTAACAGCCGGCAGGCTCTGAGGTTCTGGTGAGTGTAACTTTTTTATTTTAGGACTCAGACAAAAATGTTTACTTCACCCTTGCAGTGCATGGGTAGCCCCACTGCAAGGGTTAAGACTTTTGCCCAGAGTTCTTTAAATTGTACAGGAGTCTTGACATGAGTAGGTCAATACACATCTTATCCAGTCATTAAAGCTTAACTCTAGGCATATATAAAAAACACACATGAATGTAGTGAAATTAATATTATATGATGACATGTATTTTTGAAATGCAGGCTGTGTAAGCACTTCAATACGATACCAGTCTCGTCCAATCTACAGCAAAGCTTACACAGGAACTATGGGGTTAGGGCTTTTCCCCATAGTTCTCCTAAGATTAATGGGAGGACACAAACTAGCGTCCTCCCGTTACCCAAAGCTCAGTATACCGAGAGCGGTATACTGAGAAGCCGCAGCTGAAACGGATTGCGACAATTATGTCTGGATCCACCCAGCTGCGTGAGTGACAACTGGCTCTGCCTATCTAGAGGCAGAGCCAGCTGTACCCGCCCCCTCCCCCATCCGTTCCGCCAGTCAGCGCTGGAGGATCGGACAGGGGAGGGGGGAATCCAGTCCCTCCCCTGTCACGGCGGCTCTCTGCAGTGACAGGATCGAGAAGTGAGCGAGCGCCGGTATGTGTTCACTCACTTCCCGATCTATTGAGCGGACATGTGACAGTTTCATTGTCACAGGTCGGCTAGAACTATGATGATGAGTGAAAATCACTCACCTCATAGTTCTCCTTTTATCTGTGTAATGCAACTGTTTGCCTGGAGTTTAGTATGGATGAGCTCTAGGTGAACCAGATCCAAGCCTGAGCTCCTCCGAACATGGGCAATACATGTAAAAAAAGGGGCAGGATACTTGTGCTGACATCATTTACCTTCTTTGACCTCATAGCCATATTAGGAACATGTAATTTACCAAATATAGGCATGCACCCATATAAGGTCAATGATGTCACTGCATCCCGCACCTTTGCTTACGTGAGCTCTACTACGCAAAATGTTCTGTTTAATCCCAGCTTGTAAATGCTAATTTGAAAAGTATCCAGTTTAGCAAGTTTTGAGCAGAATTATTGAACCCTTGAGCTTCAGTTTATACCCATGTGTCCACGTTGGCGGACATTTGTAACATGCTTTATACATGCCTTTTGGGAGGGATTATTTTCTAAGGGGCCTTGAATGCATCTCAACGCAGTAAAC